TGGTGTGTGTGTGTGTGTGTGTGTGTGTGTGTGTGGTGTGCGTGTGGTGCGTGTGCGTGTGGTGTGTGTGCGTGTGGTGCGCGTGTCGTGTGCCTGTGGCGTGTGTGTGTGTGGCGTGTGTGTGTGTGTGTGTGTGTGGTGAATGCATGTGAATCCAGGCACACTGTGCCATTGAGTATACACGTATGAGGTTTAGAAGACGACCTTGGTGTCTGTGTCCCCATCCACCTTGTCTGACAGAGATCTTTTGCTTGCAAGTGCATACGGCCAGGCTAGCTGGCCGGCAACTTCTGGAGTTCTCAGTCTCCAGCTCCCATCTTGATGTAGGAGTGCTAGGATTACAGACGTGTGCTATCGTGCCTGGCCCGTAAGAGGGTTCTGGGGACCTGTCCTCCTATCCTCATGCCTACACAACAAACACTTTATACACTGTGAGGTCGTTCTGTAGTCTTTCTTTTTTGTTTTTATTTTTTATATGTGTGTATGTCTGTGTATAGGTATGTGCACAGAATGCAGAAGTGCCTGCAGAGGCCGGAAGAGCCCCATTGCCCCGGAGCTGCAGTTATAGGCAGTTGTGAGCCACCTGCCGTGGTTGCTGGGAATTGAATAAGAGTCCTCTGGAAGAGCAGTCAGTGCTCTTAACTTCTGAGCATCTCTCCAGCCCACCACTTCTTATTTTACTTTTGAACTTATCGTTTCAAATAACTAAATTAAGATGAATAATCAGAACAAACTTACTTAAAAACATTAAGCAATTTTTCCTCTACTGTATTAGCATAAAAAGCCCAAGGCCAAGGTTGTTGCTCCACGAATGACAAGAACATTTCAAATAATAGAGGACTAGAGGACCACCCACCAGGAATACTTGCATTCACATTATACACACACACCACACACACACACACACCACACACACCACACTCCCACACCACACACTCCCACACCACACACTCCCACACACACACACACACACACACACACACACACACACGCCACCCACACACACACACACGCACACACCACACACACACACACACACGCCACACGCCACACACACACACACACACACACACACCACACACACCACACTCCCACACCACACACTCCCACACCACACACTCCCACACACGCACACACACACACACACACACACACACACACGCCACCCACACACACACACACGCACACACCACACACACACACACACACGCCACACGCCACACACACACACACACACACACACACCACACACACCACACTCCCACACCACACACTCCCACACCACACACTCCCACACACGCACACACACACACACACACACACACACACACGCCACACACACCACACACACACACACACCACACACACACACACACACACACACCACACTCACACACACACACACACACATACCACACACCCACACCACACACACTCTGAAGATAAAAATCCTAATTAAAAAAAATAAAGTTAGTGAAGTGAAGACACATACCACACACCCACACCACACACACACATCTCTGAAGATAAAAATCCTAATTAAAAAAAATAAAGTTAGTGAAGTGAAGCTGGTGGCTAGGTGCCAAGGGCAAGCCCTTCCAGACTCTAATGGGAGGGAGCTGAAGACCCTGTTTAAACAGAGAGAAGAGTCTCCCTCCCAGGATGCCATTCCTCTCTGCTCCTTTCCACAGCATCTTGTTGTCAAGGAAATGGCATGGAGGGGCTCTTGCTTACACAGGGAGGAACAGGCACAGAGGGGAGATCCAGGAGATATCTGAAGGCATAGAGGAGGCTGGCTGGGAGGGGTACACTGCTGTAGCCACGTCTATCTGTTCTACCCTCCAGAACAGTTACGAAGACGACTATGTGTGAGCCGTCTGGCAGACTCACCCTGCTGACAGGCTTTGGGATACTTGATGTAAGATACAGATTTTGTGCACAGGGACCAGACGGTTATTCGAAGCTGCCAGGGAGAATGGGAGAGAGAAAGGAATTAGGATGCTTCCCATCTTTAGACTCTTGAAGCTGAATAAGATAAAGATGGACTCACACTGTATGCTCACACGAAATTTAACTTAGCATGCCTGCACAAATAGCTGTGAAAAGTGACACCACAGTGCAGGGCTGGGGAGATGGACAGGGGAAGACCTTACTGCTCAGTGGGGAGTGGAGTTTGCAAACTTAGCACTCTCCAAATGCCAGGTGGGTATGGTGGCCTGTCTAAAATTCCAGCATGTGTGAGAGAGACAGACAACTGGCTAGCCAAAGTGACAAAACTTGAAGAGCTCTGAGTTCAAGTGAGAGACAGAGCCTCAAAATAAAAGGTGGAAAATAACCAAGGAGGACACTTGAGATCAACAACGCGTGAGGTCACATATACAGAGGCACACATATCCAACAACAACAACCCACAATGCAATGCTACTTCAGTGCTCCTAGACTGCTATTTCAAATCCTGATGCACACCCTAGGAAAGCTGAACACTCCATCTGCACTAGCCAAGCAGGATCCTCTGTCACTAGAAGAAATACAGGGGAAGACCGAAGCCACAGGGCTCCCCACAACTCAGATCCCAGCAGCAGAACAACAGCTGACTAAGTTCCAGCAAGCCTTTCCTTACCAGGAACGAGAACAGCAGCCATGCCTGCCAGGAGGGGCAGTGTACAGGCATATTTAAATAATCTGTGAACTGCTGTTAATCATACAGTGTCATATGCATTGCAGACCCCAAGAACCCCCCAAAAAAGGGGGGGAGAGAAAAATGGCTGTTATGCACTGGGGCCAAAGGTGCCCCCTGGAGCCAGCAGGCTCTCAAGGCCTAGCAGTGTTCTGTGACGTGTGTAGGTGTCTTCCACTGCTCAGGCACCAGCCCAATTGACCCTCTTCTTGTCTCACAAGAGGCAGGGCCTTCCTCCATTTTGTAGCACTCTCATATCGATATATCCTGCCCTGAGAACAATAACCAATGAGCTAACTGTCCTGAGTGGGAATGTGTCTGACTCTCAGTTATATGTCCACTCTACTAAACAGACGGGTGCCTATAGGTCACCTCCTGGCCACCAAGCATAGCTGGTGCTAACTTAAGTCTGTGGGACTTTTAAAGGCTAAAACTTAAAAACTAGGAATAAGGTAGGACATGGTGACACAGAACTTCAGTCCCATTAGTCAAGAAGCAGAGGCAGGCAGATCTCTGAGAGTTTGAGGCCAGCATGGTCTACACAGCTGAGTTCCAGGCCAGTCAGAGCTACACAGTGAGACCCTGTCCCAAAATATAACAACAAAGGTGTCTTCCTCGGGGTGCCCTTGCTATGACATGATATTCCTCCACACCTGATCTGAATATTCACTGCAATGCCACCAGCAAAGTGCCTATGACCTCGATAGTTGAAGGCCAACAATGTCAGAGACAACCTATACATTTCACTCTGTTCAAGCGTTCCTTTCCATTTCAGTATGCGCGTAACTGGATAAAGTTGCATTTTCAAAAATGTTTCATAAACTTTAGAAAGGGTAACTTTCCCTTTGGATCATTAACTGAGGGTCTGAGATCTGGAGGCTGGACTTTGGTCTGCATTGCTCTCAGCATATGGACAGTTGACCAAGCTGTCTGGAAAACTCCCAAATGATCCTCTATAAACCCAGGCCACATGTCCCTGTAAGATGTTAGCACAACAAATGCAGAGGCGACCCTGCCTCCTGCTCTAACAGCTTGTAACAGAAGACACAGACTTTTCTTTGCAGGATTTTGGGGTTCTCTCCTTCCAGCATGTACATTCACAGGACTAAACTCAGGTGGCCAGGCTTGGTTGCAAAAGCCACCTTGCCAACGCCTTTTAATGTTCAAGGGTCTGGAGAGATGGCTCAGTGGTTAAGAGCACTTGACTGCTCTTCCAGAGG